GGGTTTCCGAGGGTGTAAATCCTTACGGGAGTAGAAAGCCTCATCTTTCTCCCGCAGAGCGGCTGGTAGTTTCGAACCGCTGACCTTAAGGTTCGCCCCCAAAATTAGCATTTTAACAGTTTATTTGCACTATTTTGCCCTTCCAAAGTGTGTTGTATTCTCCTCTACCATTTGTAAATGTCTGGTTATTCAATTCTTTTGATGATTTCATTCCTATTCTAGTCTTTTATTTTAGACTGTGACAGTGGTTTTATCTTTGTTACATGGGCTGTTGTTAAGTGCCATTTATCAGTTCTACTTCTTGTGACCCTGTATAGGGAGGGTGTTAGAGGCTGTACATCTTTTGCAGGGTTAGAAAGCCTCGTCTGTCTCCCATAGAGCATCTGGTGGGCTCGAACCACCAACGGTATGGTTTGTAGTCCAGTGCTATCATATTAAGCTACCTGATTTCTTTTCTTTATATATATTCTTAGTGTTAGTTTGGAAGGGAGAGAAGGGAGTTATCTTAGTTAAATTTTGCTGCTCTAACAGAAACATCACAAGTATTTCTAGATGTCTGGATTTACTGTGCCGTCTCTAAGGGCAACCTTTATTGCGATTGGCTCGAAGTTTAGATAGAAGGTCCTTGTTTCTTTTCGGCATGCGCAGTCCCAGCATTCCTTATAGATCTCCATGTTTTTCCCCCCGAATTTATTAGATTCCCAGCATAGGAACTTGCTCCCCTACAAGCTTTAGTGGTAGTCTCTTTCAACTGGTTCCTCTGCCCTTTTAATTCTTGTAAAATAAAAACTTGTCGAAGTCCACACCCCAGGGAAACTACCGTTACATCCCATCAGGGCTGTGACAGGATTAAAGGTGCTATATATCCCACTGTTAATTCTCGTAAAGGTGATTGGTTTATCATATCAAATCACATAACTGCCAAGCCACTGAAAGTCATGGGCCAGTCAAGTTGACACATATTTTGGGGGACACAATTCTATCCATGGTATTCCACGCTTCTCCCCATCCAAATTCATGACTTGCCCATTCAAAGCACTTTATTTCACCGGATCATTTTTGTGGTTTTTTTTGTTAAGTACTGTGGAGTCAGTTCTGACTCATAGTGATCATATCATCCCCCAAATCTTTCATGTCTAAATTCCAACCTGGGGAAAAATTCTTTATCTGTGGAGTTCAGAATACAGGTTATCTCTTTCTGAAGTACAATGGTGGAACACACACAAGTTAAATATTTTCATTATCAATTGGGAGCAATTGGTAAGAAAAGGTGTAACAGCTATGAAGCAACTTAAAAACCCAACAGAACAATTTACATTAGATCTCAGGGCTTCAAAATATCACAGCACTCTGTTCTCTGAGACTATCTAGGGAATGGCCCTGCCTTTAGACTCTAGGTATTGGCCCCTCAACCCAGGGCTTCAGCTCAGCCTTCCAGGCCCATTGGGATGGCAACTCTGCTCCCTCAGACTTTTGGCAGAGTCAGGGTGGAATATAGCATCCTTAACCCTATCATGTAGGAGCTCTGGTAGCATAGTGGTTACGAATCGGGCTGCGAACCTTAAGGTCAGCGGTTCGAAACTACCAGCCGCTCCGCGGGAGAAAGATGAGGCTTTCTACTCCCGTAAAGATTTACACCCTCGGAAACCCTGTACAGGGTCGCTATGGGTCGGAACTGACTAGACGGCACTTAACAACAACAACAAACCTATCATGGACCTGGTGTGGCGCTATAGGATAATGCGCTAGACCACAAGTTTGGTTTAAACCACAAGGTTGGAGGTTCAAACTCACCAGCCGTTCCTTAGAAACCCTACCTACATAGGGTCGCTATGAGTTTGAACTGACTCCACAGCACTTAACACCACCACCACCACCACCATTTCTGTCACAGAGTCTTGGTGTGTTGCTGTAGGATAAAGCATTGGACCACAAAGTCAGAGGTTCAGACTCACCAGCTGCTCCTCGGGAACCCTACTAAATTGGGAAGTCATTGAACAATTTCATTAGTATCATTTACCAACATTGAGATTAACATTCCAGAGTTAATACTATAGCGCCACACTAGGCTCCTCAAAGATACTTATGTTGTTATGGTTAAGTGCTGTCAAGTCAGTTCCCACTCATAGTGACCCTGTGTTGAATTTGCAAGAAGCTGCTGGTGAGTTTGAACCACCCTGAATACTTTAACAACTAACTGGCTTATAACTTAAAATCACATAAATGAGGGTATTACATACCTGCCAGTGGGATCAAGCATAGCAAATATGAGAATGACACAGGACTGTGCAGTGTTTCATTCTGTTATGCATAAGGTTGCTCTGTCAGTTCTGACTTAAGGGTACCTAACAACAATAACAGTGTTCCTCTTAGAAGTAACCTTAAAAATCAACACAAAATGGAACAGATTTGGGCAATTACTTTAAAAAACACTAGCTCTCAAGGACTTATATAATTGAAGTAAGAATGGGTTATATAGAAAATATGTATAATAATTAGAAAATTACTAAGCAAAGTACCTTTCATGTAATTATTTTGCTCATTCAGGAAATCATTTGTAAGAACTATGGAATCCACATTAAGGATATCCATACACTGAAAGATGAACAGTATTTAGGGAAAATCTTGTAAAGCTATAATGAGAATTGGTTTCCCTGTGGGTTTAATTATGATATTAATTGTTGTTAGTTGCCGTTGAGTTGATTTTCACGTCCACATTCAGAATATCCAAATAAATAAGGAGCTGGTATCCATACATTAAAAGATGAACAACATATAAGGAAAGCCTTATAAAGCGTAGTGAGAAATGGTTTCCCTGTGGATTTGATAGAATGATAAGTTGTTGTTAGGTGCCTTTGAGTTGATTTTTGGCTCTTAAAGACCCCATGTCTCAGAGTAGAACTGTACTATGTAGGGTTTTCTTTGCTGTAATCTTTACAAAAACAGATTGACAGGTCTTTCTGGGTAGCTTCGAACTGCCAACCTTTTGGTTAGCAGTGGAGGATTTAATTGTTCTTACCACCAGGGCTCCTTCCATTATGATATGGGTACGAACAAATAATGCTCACTTGATATGTGCAATTAGAGCTATACTTTCTGTAATCAGATTTCCCTCTAACAGCTTTTCTGTTTTTTTCAAGTGTTCTTCACAAAAGGATTATGTGATTCTTGCCACAAGAACACCACCCAAAGAGGAACAAAATGAGAGCCTCAGCCATCCCAAAGTTAAGTCAGACATCTTGGATGAAGAATGGGCCACAGAGCATGCCAACCAGGTCATCATATTATACTCTTTATATAGTTAAGTTTATGTTTATTTGATTAACAAATAAAAGCATTTTAACAAACTCAAACTATTTGACTAGGATTTTAGGGTACTCATTCTTAAGATTTTAAAATTTGCATGGTGGTGGTGGTGATTATGTGCCTTAGAGTCGTTTCTGACTCATAGCGACCCGGTATAGAGTTACCAAGGCTGTAAATCTTTACAGGAGCAGAAAGCCTCATCTTTCTCCCATGGAACCTCTGGTAGTTTCAAACTGCTGACAGTGAGATTAGCAGACCAACTTGTAACCACTGTGTTCCTGTTTTCTGCTCTGCATCATCCATGATTATATTGCTTATTTTGTTGATTGCATGTGTGTAGTTTTAAGAAAGCATTTTCTTTCTTCTAAAAACAATTCATGTGATGAGCAAGGGTTAATGGGAAGAAAATACTAATGGGTATGTTGTTGTTTTTATGTGCCGTGGAGTCGGTTCTGACTCATAGAGACCCTTCATAGGGTTTCTGAGGTTGTAAATCTCTACAGGAGCAGAAAGCCTCATCTTTCTTTCACAGAACAGCTGGTATTTCGAACTGCTGACCGTGAGATTGGCAGCCTGATTCATAACCACTACGCTACCAGAGCTCCTTACTAATGGGTATAAGGTGTCTTTGTAGGATGATGGAGATGCTCCAAAATGAGAGACTAGTGATGGTGGCACAATTCCATTTGTATAATAATGTACTCCTAGCTTCAGACTTCAAAAGGCTGAACTTTATGCTATAGTACTGTTATGAATTTTATAGCTCAACAAGGCTTTTATAAAAAAGAAAAAATAATAATAATACTTCATGCATATTTAAAGAAATTTGATCAGTACCCCCAAATAAAAGGAAGCAAATTAAAATTGTCTAAATTTCCATCATCCAGAAAAAAATACTGTAATATTTGTGTGCATATGTTTATGTGTGTGTGTGAGGGAGGGAGAAAGATGAGGCTTTCTGCTCTCGCAAAGATTTACAACCTTGGAAAGCCTGTATAGGAACACTATGGGTTGGAACTGACTCTACTGCACTTAACAACAGCTATATGTGTGTGTGGCAGCATATGTAGAAGACTATAACTGGACAAAAAACTAAAAGTGACTGGTTCATGGATGGTTTTGAATACAATCCTAAGGAGTGTGGATTGTTTTGAGTTGAAAATAGTTCCGTGCTAGAGATTCAGTGCTCCCTAAAGTAAGGGGGAGAGAGGAAGAAAGCTTGGAAAGGTCTTCAGAAAGTTCGTGGAAAAACGGAATTAAAAGATAATGAAAGTTTTTCCATGATTTTTTGAAGCACCCTCATATTTTGAGAAGGAGTCTAACCAATAATTTAGAAAATAACTAATGTCAGCTACTCTTAGAAACTCTATATAGATGTAGTGAGCCCTTTCAGGAGCGTGATAACAGGAGATTGGATTATTGTCAGGACTGTGGAGTGACAAAAATTCAAAGTCATGTGATCACCCACCATCTTTGAGCAGGCCCCTATTGTTTCCAACTCTGCATGTAAAATTATTTGATTGCTTTGCAATGTGCGTGCAGCTTTTATTTTCTAAGAGGAAGGTTAAGTTTCTAGCAGGGCTTTGACACTAAATATTTTCCCTTCTGATTATCATTGCAGAACACCCACAGTTTACAAATTCAGGGGTATGCCAGTTTCACTCCATGCACATGACAGACCAAGGAGACCTATTTCAAAATCCTACTCCTAGGGAGAATTCTAGCTGTACTTTTTTTCAAGACAGATATGTTGTTGCTCTAACAGTCTATGGTATTTTCAGTACTCTTCATAATTTCATAATTGCACCAATTCTTCAGTCTTCCTTATTCATTGTTCAATTTCCACATGTGTATGAGGCAATTGAAAATACCATGGTTTGAGTCAGATATACTTTAATCCAGAGGCATTTATTTAATTTTTGAAACACTCTACAGCAGATGGCTCAGTGTAATACATCCACTGTTTCATTTCTTGACTGCTGCTTTCATGGACATTGTGGATCCAAGTAAAATGAAATCTTAGCAACTTCAATTGTTTCTCTGTTTATCAAGGCGTTGCTTTTTTCCATATATTTATGTGTGTATCTCTCACACACACATAAATATATGCTCACAAAGTTTTGTTTTCTATCTATTGAGGTATAGTCCATACTAAAGGCTATATAGTCTTTGATACTCATCAGTAAGTACTTCAAGCCCTCTTCGCTCCACCAAGGTTATATCAACTGCATATCACAAGTTGCTAATGAGTCTTCTTTCAGTTCTGATGCCATGATCTCATTATAGTCCAACTTTACAGAGTATTTGCTCAGCATACAGATTGGATAAGTATATTAAAATGATACAACCCTAACCTCATACCTTTCCTGATTTTAAACTAATCAGTGTGCCCTTGTTCTGTTCAAATGATTGCTGTCTAGTCCGTGTACAGGTTCATCCTGAGCACAGTTAACTATGCTGAAATTCTCAGTGTTAGCCGTATTTATTTTTATTTACACAGTAAAATGCCTTTGAATAGTCAGTAAAACACAGGTAAACATCTTTCTGTTATTGTCTACTTTCTGCCAAGTTCCATCTGACTGACAGTTCCCTACAGTGTACTGCTGCAACTATATTTGAATTATCTTCAGGCAAATTTGTTATATCAATGATACGGTTCAGTCGTTTCTACATTCTGTTGGATCATTTTTCTATGGAATGGGCACAAATATGGATATCTTCCAATTGGTTAATTCAGGTAGTTATCTTCCAGATATCCTGGCATAGATGAATGAGTGCTTTCAGCATTGCATCTGGATGATGAAATATCCAACTACTGATCCTTCCTCTTTGTTTTCAACTTCCTTTTTCCAATAACCATTAATTATCATTGAGTCTTGATTGCATGTTTGATGAATTTCAGACTGAAGAAGTTGGTAGAATTCTTCAGTTTCATCATCACTTGCTTTAGTGGTTGATGTGTAAATTTGAATAGTAATGGTATTAACTGGTCTTCCTTTAAGGCACTATGGATATTATGATAACAGACAGCATTGTACTTCAATACAGAGCATTAAATATGCTTTTTTGATGAGGAATGTGAATCTATTCCTCTTCAATTTGTTGTTCCTGTATAATTGTTCAATTCAAAATAGCCAATACCATTTCATCCCAGCTATGCCTAGGAGTCCTGGTGTGGCACTGTGTGTTAATGTGCTGGACTGCAAAGTCAGTTTGGACCAAAAGATCAGCAGTTCAGCTTCACCAATCGTTCCTCAGAAACACTGTGCATGGTCACTATGGGTCAGAACTGACTCAGTGACACTTAACAGCAGCAACAATGCCTAGGATATTGATCTTTATGTGTTTTGTTTCATTTTTGACAACTTTCAATTTTCCTAGATTTATTTGTGTGTTCTAAATCCTGATTATTAATGACTGTTTGCAGTTGTTTCTTCTCATTTTGAGTTATGCTCCATCAGCAAATGAAGGTCCCCAAATCTTTGCTCCATCCGTCATTGACGTCAACTCTACTCTTAAGTAGACAGCTCTTCCCTAGTTGCATTTTGAGTGCCTTCCTAATTGAGAGGCTCACCTTGTGACAGTATATCAGATGATGTTCTTTGTTATTCATAAGGTTTTCTGAGACTAACCATTCAGAAGTGGTCCACCGTTCCTTCTTCCTAGTCTGTCGTAGTCTGGAAGCTCCACTGAAATTGCTTACCATGGGTGACCCTGCTGGTATTTCAAATACCGGTAGCACTGTTTCCAGTTATCACAGCAACACACAAACCACCACACTATAACAAACTGACAGGTGGATAGAGTGTCTTTAACAAACATGAATTTATTTTCTCATAGTTTAGGAGACTGGATGGCTGAATTCTAGGTGCTTGTCCTAAGGGAAGGCTTTCTCTGTCATATCTGGAAGATGATCCTTGTCTCTTTGAGATTCTGTTCTTGGAGGCTCTTCCTTTGCTTGGCATTGGCTTCCCATTTATGCTTCTACTCATTTGTTTGTTGTTATCGTTAAGTGCTCTCAAGTCAGTTCCCACTCATAGTGACCCTGTATAGGGTTCCAAGGAGCAGCTGGTGGGTTTGAGCCTCTGACCTTGTGGTTTGCAGTCCACTCCTTATCCTATAGCACCACATTTGTTTGTTGTTGTTGTTTAGTTCCATTGAGTCGTTCTGACCTTGTGTAGGGTTTCCAAGGAGCACCTGGTGAGCTTGAACCACCGACCTTGCAGTTCAAACTGACTTTGTAGTCCAAGGCATTAACCCACAGTGCCACACCAGGTCTCTCTTATATCTGAAAATAAATTGACTCAAGATACACCCTACATTAATCCAGTCACATTAACATAACAAAGGCAGCCCATCCCGGATGAGATTATAATCTGTAACAACACTCTACACTCATAGAAGTTATAATTTATAGTATATATTTTAGGGGATATAATCCAATCTATAACATTTCTTCCTTTGGCCCCTAAAATTCATTTTTTTGCTCCATGCAAAACGAATTCAATCCATCACGTATTGTAAAGCTTTAAGGACACTCTAGAAAGATAATAAAAGTAATAAGACCCCATTCAATTTAGTTACCATTTGTTTCTTAATATTGTCAGTTTTTTAAAAAACTCACCTCAACGATGTGCTTATGAGTTCATACTCAGTAATTATTTGCTGTATTAGATTCCCAAATAGAAAGGATTACATATCACTGTAAATGCTTGTGTTAACTAATATTATGTCTGTATTTTCAGGTTTCCAGAATGCTACCAGGGGGACTTTTAGTTCTTGGAGTATTTATCGTTACAACTTTAGAACTGGCGAGTGATTTTCAAAATGTTCTACGCAGAGTAAGTCTGATCTGTCAAAAATTCTTAATATGATGAGAATTATGTATTCTTTTAATTGCCATTGAGTAGCTTCAACTAATAGCAACCCTATGACAGCAGAACGAAACACTGCCCAGTCCTGTGCCATCCTCACAATTGTTGTTACACTTGAGCCAATCACAGCTGGCACTATGCCAGTCCGTCTCATTGGGGTTCTTCCTCTTTTTCAGTGATCCTCCACTTTACAGAGTCTCTTCTATTTAACTTTATTGGCTAGAATTTTGTTGAGAATTTTTGCATCTATGTTCATGAGGGTTATTGGTATATAATTTTCTTGTTATAGTAATGTTCTTCTCTGGTCTTGGTCTGAGGGTTGTGCTCTTCATAAAATGTATTGATGAGTTTTCCATCATTTTCTTTGTTTTAGAATAATTTTAGTAAAATTGGTGTCAACTCTTCTCTGAATGTTTGGTAAAATTCTCCAGTAAAGCCATCTGGGCTTGGACTTTCTTTTGTTGGGTGTTTTTTAATGACCTGATCAATTTCTTCTTTTGTTATAGGTCTGTTCTAGGTTTCTGCTTCACACTGTGTTAGTTTAGGTAGGTTGTGCTTTTCTAAAATTCTATCCATTTCGTCCAGATTTTCAAATTTATTGGAGTACAAGTCTTCATAGTATTCTATTATTATCCTTTTTATTTCCCTTGGAATTGTGACTTCACCCATGTCATTTATTATGCATGTTCTTCTACTTTTCTTTTGTTAGATTTTCCAATGGTTTGTCAATATTAATCCTTTCCTAGAACTAGCTTCTTGTTTTGTTGATTGACTCTTTCATTGTTTGTTTTTATTCATTTATTTCTGCTCTAATCCAATAGTCGGAGATGTTGTTTTAATGTATTGATTTTGCTGCCGCTTTGTAGATATGTGCATTTATTGCTATAAATTACCCTCTAAGCACTGCTTTACTGTGCCCCAAAGATTTTGGTATTTTGTGTTTTCATTCTCTTTTGCTTCAAGAAAAAAAAAATTTATGTTCTTTTTTATTTGTTCTGTTACCCAGTGGCTTTTAAGCAAGATGCTATTCAGTGTCCGTGAATTTGATTTTGTTTCCTTGCTCTTACTATTGTTGTTTATAATTTTATATCATTGTGATCTGAGAAGATGGTTTGTAGTCTTTTGATGTTTTTAAATTTATTGAGACTTAGTTGTGGCCTACCATATAGTCTATTTTGGGGAATGTGCCCTAGAAAAGAATGTGTAACATGCTACTGTTTCAGTGCTCTGTGTAAATCTATTGAGTTCAAGTTGATTGATTTTTGTTGTTTACTTCCTGTGTGTCTTTGGTCTTTGTTGAGTTTCTGTCTCGTTGGTCTGTCATTTTATGACAGTGGTGTATTAAGATCTCCTACGGAGTCCTGGTGTGGTGCTGTGGATTAATGTGCCAGACTATAAAGCCTTTGAACTGCAAGGCCGGCAGTTCAAGCTCACCAGCTGCTCCTCGGAAACTCTATACATGGTTGCTATGGGTCGGAACCTACTCCACGGCCCTTCACAACAACAGCTGTTACTGTCAAAAAAAAAAAAAAAAAATGACAGACCAACAAGAAAGAAACTCAAAAAAGACACAGAGGTGCATTTAGATCTCCTATTATTATTGTGGAATCCTGGTGTGGTGCTGTGGATTAATGTGCTGGACTTCAAAGTCAGTTTGAACAGCACGGTTGGCAGCTCAAGCTCCCCAGCCACCTCTTGGAAACCATTTTACACAGGGTCGCTATGGGTTGGAACTGACTTGATGGCCCTTAACAACAACTATTATTGGAATCCTGGAGTCCTGTTGTGGTGCTGTGGGTTAATGCACTGTACTGCAAAGTAGGTTTGAACTGCAAGGCCTGTGGTTCTAGCTCACCAACCATTCCTCAGAAACCCTAAATAGGGTTGCTATGGGTCCGAACAGACTCAATGGCACTTAACAGCAACACTATTAGTACTGTCTATTTCTTCTTCAGTTTTATTTGAGTTTGGTTTATGTATTTTGAGGCTCTTTCATCAGGAGAATAAATAATTATTAGGGTCATGACCTCTTGTTCAATTGACCCTTCCATCATGAGATAATGCCCTTCATTGTCTCTTATGCTCGTTTTTTGCATTGAAGTCTATTTTTTCAGAAATTAATATTGTCACTCGTGCTCATTTTTGATTGCCATTAGCATGATAATTTTTTTCCAACCTTTATTTAAATCTTTATTTGTTCTACTTTTAAGCTGAGTGTTATTCAGTTTCCATGTATTTGTTGTTATTTCTTTGATTTTCATATTACTGATTTCTAATTTTATAGCATTGTGATCTGAGAAGATGCTTTGTAGTATTTTGATGTTTTTAAGTTTATTGAGACTTGGTTTGTGTCCTAACACATGGTCTGTTCTATAAAAAGTGGTGTATTAAAATCACCCATTATTATTGTAGAGTTGTCTATTTCTTTCTTCAATTCTATTAGGGTTTGACTTACGTACTTTGAGGCTCTTTCATTGGGAGCAACATATTTATTATGGAATGTTCTTTTGTTCAGTTAACCCTTTAATCATGAGATGATGTCCTTTTTTACTGCAATTAGCTTGATGTATTTTTTTCCATCTTTTAACTTTGTAATAATCTTTGTCTTTGAGTGTAAGGTGTGTCTATTGTTGACAGCATACTGAAGGATCCTTTATTTTTATCCAGTCTTTTGTTGTTGTTGTTGTTAAGTGCCATCGAGTCGGGTCCGACCCATAGCAACCCTGTACAGGGTTTCCGAGGGTGTAAATCTTTACGGGAGTAGAAAGCCTCATCTTTCTCCCGTGGAGCGGCTGGTAGTTTCGAACCGCTGACCTTAAGGTTCGCAGCCCGATTCGTAACCACTACGCTACCAGAGCTCCTTATCCAGTCTTTAGACTGGTACATTTAATACATTGGTGTTCAGTGTAATTATCAATAGGTCTGAATTGACAGCAGTCATTTTGCTGTGGGTTTTTTTTGCATGTGTAGTGCTGCTAGTTTCTTAGTTCCACATTTTTTTCCTGTGCTGTAACAATACTTTTCCCTCTTCTTGCTCTACAGTTGTCTTCATTATAAACTGGTATCTCTGATTCACTCTCTTCAGTCGTGTAGGTTTGTTTTATTCTGGATACTTCTATATCTGGATGGAATTCTGGGCTGTGCTGCTGTATATGTCAATCTAGGTTTGTTATCTGCTGTTGCTAGTTTTCAGTTCAAATGACTCCCATTTGTATTTTCGGAAAAATTGACTTGGGATTTTACAAATTCCTTTAAGTTCTGTTTATTTGTAAATGTTCTAATTTCACCATCATATTTAAGGGACAGTTTTTCTAGTTTAGGTAACATTTCGTTTTTATTGAGCTACTTTCAAGATTCTTTCCTTGTCTATAATTTTGAAGAGTTTGATTATGATATGTCTTGGTGATTTTCTTTTGGGGTCTATCCTGCTTAGAGTTCGTTCAGCTTCTTGAATACTAATCATTTCCTCTTTCATGATGTTAGGGAAATTTTCTTCCAGAAGCTCTTTGACTATCTTTTCTGTGGTTTTCTTACTTTACTCCTGTTGTGGAATTTCAGTCACCCATAGATTATTCCTCTTCATGTTGTCCAACATGAACCTTAGGCTTACTGCAGATTTTTCCATTATTTTTTCTTGTTGTTCTTCTATGTTACTAACATTGAGAGATTTATTTTCAAGTTTATTAATTCTTGCTTCCATTTTATTCCTTGACCTTTTCAGTGTATTGTCCATTTCTGATATTTTAGTATTGACCTTCTGGATTTTTGTTTGCAGGTTTTTTATTGTATCCAATGCTGTATCTATTTTGTTTGATTGTTCCTGTAACACTTTTCTGAATTTTCCTGTTTTCTCAAACTTTCTGTGAAATATTTGGATGTACCTCAATATCATTCTCCTGAATGCTTTTTCAGGTAACTCAGAGCCTTGTCTTCCTCAAAAGCACTTTCTAGCTTTTCCCGTTGGTTTGTTTGTTTGCTTGATCTGCTCTGTCTTGTTTCTTCTTGTGAACAGAAATGTTCTGCTGCTTTCTAGTCATTGTGGTGGTTTTTGGATTTGTAGTAATTTGGTGAACGTTGCCTTCTGTTGGGTATGATCAGGAGATGAGCTTCTCTGTTCACTGTTCATATAGTTCAATTCAGAGTGAGTTTCAATGTGCTGGTTTTAGTCGCTGCTCTGGTGTATAGCAGCTGGTATTATCTCATGCCAAGTTGGTGGGACTATAGAAACTACAGCTGTGGCTTGACTGTGTGGCCATAATTGCTGTCTCCTGTTGTATGATGCAAGAAGGAAAACAAACAAAAAATAAGCCAACACAGCAAACTATGAAAGTCACTGACTTTTTCTCCACCAATAAGAAATGTACTGTGCCACCTACTGACCTGTTGCCTTTGCAACCACATGAGAAAGTTTAAATGGTCACGCTGGGTCCAGCAGACCTATACAGATTGCTCACCTCCTTTCTTTTTTTTTTCTCCCATTTTTTTCTCTACCCCATGAGTCAATTCAACTCCATCTCCTAGTGACAGCCAATCTAGGCCTGGTCAGGATGTACTTTGCAGATTTGGAGGCAAGCCTGCCCACGTGGGGTTATTGTATATAGCTCCTCCCCGGAGCTTAACAACCTCCGAGTGGCTCTGACCACCTGTAAAGTGGGAGATTCTCTATGATTGTACATTGGTCATAAAAATAGGACAAAACTAAAATAAAAACGTACTTTTGTTTCCATAGTAGATTTAGGCAATGCAAGTATATTTTCTTGTCTCAAAAGCCATTCATGAATTCTTAAGATGGCGGAGGCAGGTGCTGTCAGCTGCCGTTCTTATTTGGATATCTTGAGTATAATACTTATGTATTCATATTTTCAGTCAAAGCTTCAGGCATGTTTTGAAGAAAAGAAAATTAATGATACAGTTATGGCATTTTAAGAGTAGATGGGGGGCTTATGGCTAATAGGTGCCATCAAGCCAGTTAGTTGTTGTTGTTGTTAGGCGCCATCGAGTTGGTAGTGACTCATAGCGACCCTCTGCACAGCAGAATGAAACATTGCCCGATCCTGTGCCAACCTAACTATTGTTGCCACACTTGAGCCCATTGATGCTGTCACTTTGCGAATCCATCTCAGTGGGGGTCTTCCTCCCTTTCTCTGACACTCCACCATACCAAACATGATATCCTTCTCCAGTGACTGGTCCCTCCTGACAATATGTCCGAAGTATGAGAGATGAAGTTTGGCAATCCTGGTCTCCAAGGAGTACTCTGGCTTCACTTCTTCCAACACAGATCTGTTTCTTCTTTTGGCTGCCCATGGCACTTTAAATATTCTTGTCCAACAGCGTAACTCAGAAGCATCAATTCTTCTACAGTCTTCCTTATTCACTGTCCAGCTTTCGCATGCATATGAGGTTATTGAAAATACCATGGCTTGGGTCAGGCACACCTTAGTCCTCAAGTTGACATCTTTGCTTTTCAACCCTTTAAAAAGGTCTAGTGCAGCCGATTTGCCTAATGCAATACGTCGTTTGATTTCTTGACTGCTGCTTCCGTGAGTGTTGATAGTTGATCCCCAAAAAATGAAGTCCTTGACAACTTCAGTCTTTTCTCCATTGGTAAGAATGTTGTTTATTGGTCCAATGGTGAGGATTTTTGTTTTCTTTACATTGAGATGCAATCCATACTGAAGGCTGTACTCTTTGATTTCCATCAGTAAATATTTTAAGTCTTCTTCACTTTCAGCAAAAAAGGTTGTATCATTTGCATATCACAGGTTGTTAATGAGTCTTCCTCCAATCCTGATGCCATGTTTTTCTTCATAGAACCCAGCTTCTCGGATTATTTGCTCAGCATACAGGTTGAATAAGTATGGTGAAAGAATACAACCTTGTTGCACAGACGTTATAATTGCCTTTTTCTTACACTCACTTTTCTTCTTTTCATTTTGCGTTCATTCCCTGTGTGTTTTTCTCTCCTTCAGCTAGTCTTTGCAATTGAGAAGTCCATGAGTAAAAAAAGACTGTGGAGTTTCACAGAAGAAGTCTCAGAACGAGTGATACTTCACATTTGCTCCTCTACAAAAAAGTATCTTTTATTTCAGTGTTTATTGTTTAAAATATATGGCAACTATCAAAATAATGTTCCTGCATAACTTATTTTTCCAAAATTTAATTGAATTCTCATCATTTTTAAAATAAACGTGTGTTTTTCTTTAAGTGACCCATAATTAAGAGTGCTCATAATAATAGTATAGTAATGTGCTAATCATATCTTAGGGTTGTGAAGAGTTTGAAGGAGAGATAGCAGGGGCTTAGGATCTTGACTTCCTTTACCAGCTATCTATACCTATATACACTTGCTGTTGTTGTTAAGTGCCATCGAGGTAATTCCAACTCATAGCAACTCTGTGTAGGGTTTTCAACTAGTACCTGGTGTTTGAACCGCCAACTTTGTGGTTACAGTTCAGTGATTATCCTACAGCACCAAACTAGGACTCCGGTAGAGAGAATGAGAAATGCCTAACTTACAGAGTAAGGAAACTGATGCTATGGTCATATGAAACCTTTAATTTCTTATTACTGTAGATAAACTGTGCTGTAGGATTAGCACTGGACTGCTAACCACAGATTAGCGGTTCAAACCCACCAGCTGCTCTTTGAAAACCCTATGGAGGGTCACTCTGAGTTGAAACCAATTCGACAGCAGTTAACACAACACCCTTGCCCTGGCAAAATTTAAAGGAGAGGCACTAAGGAGGCCTTATACTGGGATTTTGTGTCACAAACCTTTAATCAAAAGTCATGAAAATTTCTTGGATGATTTCAAGAAATTCAAAGTCAACTTGCACTTTAAATTGTACAGTGTATCTGTGTTGTTGGTTTAGTGCCATTGAGTCAGTTCTGACTCATAGCAACTATGTATAGGGTTTTCAAGGAGTGACTGGTGAGTTTGAACTGCTGACCTTCCAGTTCAAACCAACCTTGCAGTCCAGTGCTTATCCTACAGCACCACACTAGGACATCAGGGCAATGGTAGCTCACAAGTAAAAAGCTGTGTCACCAATGTAGTGTGGGAATCCAAGGGCCAAATAAAGTATTACTTCAAAGACAAAATTTTGAAAAGTAATTATTTCTTCAGAAGCAAGTTTTCAACTCTTGTGGTATTATTGCAAAGTTCATATATAAGACCTTTTACCTAAGAAATGTTTTAAGCTTTACCCCATCCAAATCAGTATTCCTCTTTCTGTTATGTAAGTTGTATATTTGGAGAAAATTTTACAAGTGTTTCTGTTATATTAATTGGCATTAGCAAGCTTTATAAATAGAAGGAAATGGTGTTCAGGCATCACAGGTAGTATAAGTAGAGCCTGTATGTGTATATATAAATATATAATGATACACCTAATAATATATGCATATATCTACATATACAACAGGGCTTTTAAAAGTGCGTGGAAAAATTGAATTAAAAAAATAATAGATTTTTTCCAAGAAGTGTTTAAAGCCTACTTTATATATAAAATACATATATGTATATTTTTTTAGAAGTCCGGTGTGGCACTACAGGATAAGCATTGGACTGCTAACTACAAGGTCAAAAGTTCAAACCCACCAGTTATTCTTTGAAAACCCTATACAGGATCCCTATGAATCAAAACTGACTTGACGGCACTTAACGACAACAACATATATCTTTAAGTGTATAAAATAGGCTTTTGCAAAAGTTGTTATGTGAATGTGCTTGTTTTCTTTTTTTCTTGATTACAAAGAATTACTTCTATTTCTGTCCTTAACTAGTAAAGAATACTTTGTCGAACTTATGATATCCATGATCCAAAGGTAAGAAAAATTAAAGATATTTCTATGTTGGGTATTTTTAAATAAAATTTATTTTTAAAATTAGCTTTAAACATAACTGTTAATTTCTTACTAACCACTGGAAATTCACAGCCACTTGTAGCTTCCCCCCTTTTTTGATGATGTTAATTTTATTAGAGGCAATAATGAATATGAGGAAAATGTGTATTTTTAATTGTTAGATTATTTTCATCGAGTTCCTCCCATCTTATTTATGTGTTTGGTATTTTTACTTGGGGGATTAGTTGTAAACATGTCTGAGGATTTTTAGTAGCTACTGCTGCAAGCAGACTGTTTGTAATCAGCAGAAGCTAGTCTTAGAAATTTTGTAACTCTATTTTCATAAACAAGAAAGTCATAGAAATATGTAGTTTCATTTACTGAACAAAAATAGGAAGAGCAGTTTTGAATGTGGTTATACAGGTATACAGGTATACAATCTAACTATGTATTTAATTAGTTAATTTGAATAAGCTACCATGATTGCTGCATACTCTTATTGGAAACCTTATACAGGGTTTGTGTGAGTTGGAATCAACTCGATGGCACTTAACAACAGCAACAAGGACATATCAGTATGTGTGCTTGGATATATAGATATAGATGGATGGTAAAGAAATCAGAATTCTGAGCCCCTTCTATCTCTCCTTCAAACTCTTCACAACCCTCAGATATGATTAGCACATTATTAAGAGACTGTGTAATAATCATAGTTATAGTTCTCCAAATTAGCTAATTAGATGCATTGTTAGATTGTGTATCTATGTAACCAGATTCAAAAAGAAGATCTGGTACCTGTGAGTTTACTCAGTGACTATATGTTCTACGTTGTTGTTGTTAAGTGCCGTCAAGTCACTTCAGACTCATAGCAGCCTTGTATAGGGTTTCCAAGGAGCACCTAGTGAGTTTGAACCGCTTACCTTGTGGTTCAAACCAACCTTGTGGTCCAGTGCTTAGCCTGCAGCACCCCACCAGGACTTAAAAAGAAGATCTGACACCTATGAGTTCACTCGGTGATTATTTGTTCTGTATTAGACACTTACGAATTGACAGTATTAAAGCTATAGAAGACAGACAGAGGACCAGAAGACTTTTTTCAGATTTTTAAACATGTTTATTTTTTACCTTTTTCTTCCTGCCACTCATAGGGAGAGTGAGGAAAGGGGTATTAACATTACCTGCATTGTACTGCAGAGTACTGAATTTAATATATGCCTCAGTTTTATTTACTTCTAATCTGTAGCTCTTTAATCAAAGAATATGGCAAAATATATTGGCTACTATGTTATAGAAAGAAGATCTTATATGTTTTATAATATTTTATTGATCCATGTACTTTACCTAAACCCCATCTTATTTCATGCTTTTTTCCCTTTCTCACTGCTAAAGAGTTCAGCAAGACCAGCAGAGTGGAAGTATCAAAATGGACTCTCAACCTCATGGATTTCTTTACAGTGTACAGTTCACATTAATATTCACATTCCACTTTCTAGTACTTCTGTCAACTATACTCTGGAGAAAAATACGAAGGTATCAGCGTGCAATATATTTTCTTTAATACTTGTTGAGTAGAAAGTCTGCTTTTATTTTGGTTTTTTTGTGCCATTCATTTTATAATCCTCAAAAAATTAAAATATTTTATAAGTAACTAATTGATAATACCCCAGTCAGATTATAATTATTTTTTAGATGTGAGACAGTGTCATAATGGTAGTGTATTTAGCAAAGTAGGCATGTAATAAATATTTATTAGTCAGAAGTCCTAAAATGTAGTTAAATTTAAAAATATGTAATATTCTAAAATTGTGATTCTTTTAGATTTACTGTATGGTCTCTTTACTTTCTTTTGATCCTTCTGTTTGTCTTTTTGCATTTCTGTACCATTCCTTTGTTCATCTCATTTCATAATTTTCTAAATCACTTCTTGTCACTGAAGCGTGCAAATAGAGTTTTGCTTCCTTTTTCTGTATTAAATATTGCGTTATCATACTTGATGGTGTGGCACTATAGCATAAGCAATGGGCTGCTAGCCACAAGGCCAGCAGTTCAGACCCATCAGTCACTCCTCAAAAATCCTAACAGGGTTGCTGTGAATCAGTATTAACATGATGGCACTTGGCAACAACAATATAAGCTTCATATACCAGCAAAAACAAGACCAGGGGCAGATTGTGGAACAGACCCTCAGTTGCTCATATGCAAATTCAAACTGCACCTGAACAAAATGAAAACAATGCCACCAGAGCCAAACTATGACCTTGACTAGATCCCACCTGAATTTAGAGATCATCTGAAGAACAGATTTGATGCATTAGACACTTAAGACCGAAAACCAAAAGAGTTGTAGGATGACATCAAGAACATCATACAGAAAGAAAGCAAGAGGTTATATTAAGAAGACAAGAAAGAAGGAAAAGATCAAAATGGATGTCAGAAGAGACTCTGAAACTTGCTTTCTAGCATAGAGATGCTAGGGCAAATGAAAGAAATGAGGTACAACAAGAGTGAACAGAAAATTTCAAAGGTCAGCTCAAGAAGACAAGGTCAGATATTACAGTGAAATGTGCAAAGATTTGGAGTTATAAAACCAAAAGGGAAGAACATGCTCAGCATTTCTCAAGCTTAAGGAATTGAAGAAAAAATTAAAGCCTTGACTTTAGTTATTGAAAGATTCTCAGGGCAAATTATTGAATGATACAGAAAACATAAAAAGAAGATGGAAGGAATACACAGAGTCACTATACCAATAGTAAATGGCCAGTGTTCAACCATATCAACAGGCAGCATATGATCAAGGGCCAGTGATTATGAAGGAAGAAGTACAAAGTATATTGAAGGAATTGGAAAAGAACAAGGCACTGGGAATTGATAGAATAAAAATTGAAATAATTCAAGAAAGTGAGGCGGCACTAGAGGCACTCACTCATCTATGCCAAGAAATTTGTAAGAAAACTACCTGGCCATTTGACTGAAAGAGATCCATATTTGTGCCCATTCCAAAGAGGTGACCCAACAAAATGCGGCAATCATCGGACAATATCATTGATATCCCATGCGAGTAAAATTTTACTAATGGTATTACAGAAACACCTACAGCCATAAATTGACAGAGACATTCTGGAGGTTCAAGCCTGATTCAGAAGAGGTTGTAGAACGAGGAGTTTCACTGTTGACATCAGATGGATCGTGGCTAAAAGCAGAGAATACAAGAAAGATGTTTACCTGTGCTTTATTGACTATGCACACGCTTTTGATTGTGTGGATCATGACAAGCTATGGACAACATTGTGAAGTCTTGAGTATTCCAGAACACTTAATTGTGCTCATGAGGAACCTGTACATGGACCAAGAAGCAGCTGTTAGAATAGAACAAGGGAACAATGAATGGTTTAAAATAAGGAAAGGTGTGAGACAGGGTTGTATTCTTTCACCATACTTATTCAACCTGTATGCTGAGCAAATAATCCTAGAAGCTGAGTTATATGAAGAAAAATGTGGCATCAGGATTGGAGGAAGACTCATTAACAATCTGTGATATGCAAATGATACAACCTTTGCTGAAAGTGAAGAGGGCTTAAAATACTTACTGATGAAGATCAAAGAGCACAGTCTTCAGTATGGATTGCATCTCAATGTAAAGAAAACAAAAATCCTCACCACTGGACCAATAAACAACATTCTTATCAATGAAACAAAGACTGAAGTTATCAGAGACTTCATTTTGCTTGGATCAACCATCAACACTTAAGGAAGTAGCATCAAGAAATCAAACGATGTGCTGCATTAGGCAAATCTGCTCCACAAGACCTTTTTAAAGTGTTGAAGAGCAAAGATGTCAATTTGAGGACTAAGGTGCGCCTGACCCAAGCCATCGGATTTTCAGTAACCCCATATGCATGCAAAAGTTGGACTGTGAATAAGGAAGACCGCAGAAGAAATGATGCCTTTGAGTTATGGTAGTGGAAGAGTATATTGAAAGTGCCATGGGCTGCCAAAAGAACCAACAGATCTGTGTTGGGAAAAATACAGCCAAAAGTGCTCCTTGGAGGCCAGGATGTTCAGACTTTGTCTATCTTACTTTGGACATATTGTCAGGAGGGACTAGTCCCTGGAGAAAGACATGTTTGGTAAGGTGTAGGGTCGGAGAAAAATAGGAAGACTTCCAGCGAGATGGATTGGCACAGTGACAGCATCTATGTGCTCAAATGTAGCAACGATTGTGAGGTTGGCCCAGGATCAGGCAGTGTTTCATTCCATTGTGCACAGGGTCACTATGAGTTGGTATCAACTCAATGGCACTTAACAACAATAACAAGAAGTATCAATTTAGTCTATGATAATAATTGTTAGTTTAGGATAAAGGTCAGGAAAGAAATACAGCAAAAACTATTAAATATGGGTAGTGCTGATGTGCCGTGGAGTCGGTTCCAACTTAGCGACCTTGCATAGGGTTTCTGAGCTGTAAATCTTTACGGGAGCAGAAAGCCTCATCATTCTCTTACAGAACAGCTGGTAGTGTTGAACTGCTGACCTTGAGGTTAGCATCCTGACTCATAACCATTATGCTACCAGAGCTCCTTATGAACTATGGGTATGGTGCTAAATATCGAGGCTATACTATTTTTATTCAAAAGATTGAATTTAAATAAAGAGTTTATGATACTCGGAAAGTTTTAATATTTTGTTGTAATTTGGTGGAATAAAGTAGAGCATTTGAAGTTTAATTTAGATGGCTTTATACCTGAGGAAATTTGTTCTGTTTTTTAGAATGGACTTGTACGCTGGGCCAAACAAATAGAAAATGGTATATTTTTGATTAATGGGCAAGCTAAAGATGAGAATTGTGACCTACTAGAAGGACAGGTAAGTTAAGAGAAAATTAATCTCTTTTATGAAATTATTTAGTTCTTTAGTCCTGTGTTCATAAAAACAGATTACAATTATAAACAGTCCCTGACTCAACGTATTTTTCAGTTTCAACAAACCACATATATGATCTGTTATTTTCTGGTTTATAGATTTTATCATCAGCAATATGTTGTGTGTTACAAAACATAATTTGTTGATGACATCATGCCTATACTTTTATATGTTGTGTTTCTAACCCTCAGAGACAATAAAGATAGGATGTATATGTTGTTGTTGTTGTTAAATGCTGTTGAGTCATTTCAACCCTGTTGAGAGTTTCCAGTGAGCAGCTGGTGAGTTTGAACTGTGAACCTTGTGGTTCAGATCAACCTTGTAGTTCATTGCTTTATCCTATGTCTCTAAAAAAGCCAATGATACTGAAAACTTTAAAAAGAAATAAAAATATTTAACGTACATCAGATCCAACTTGCAGCAGAGTCATTGAAACAGAACCCATTGTAATTGTAAATTAAAGACTGCTTGAGTTTCTCATTTCTGAGGTCTTTATTTTTTTAAATTTTTTATTGTCAATTGAGTAAAAGTTTACGGGGCATCATCAGTTTTATATTCAACAAATCATTTACCTTGTTTCATTACAATGATTATAATACCCACCCTGTACCATAAGTTAACAGTATTTCTCTCTATTCATTTTAGCTCTTTTTAAAAAAACAGAAACAAAAAAAACACTCAGGCATATATAATAATTTACACCACCAAAGGGCACATTCTGCAAGTCTGTCTCCTGGTCGCCAGCTCTCAATCCCTCTTTTCCCATGATTCTAGAGTCCTCAACTGCTCCCTCTCTCCATGTCCCCATCTCTGCCTCTATCTCTGGTGTCACTGCTTGTCTGGATAAGGTCCCACATTCCACTTGTGCTCTTCTCCCTTGATGGTCCTAGGGTCCTTTGTTTCTGGACTATAAGATTAACTACTCCCCCATTTTTGCTCTGAGGTCTTTAAGGTAAAAGGAATTTTTTTACTCAGAAAATAGTGAATCAGGTTATTCTTGATTTAATTGGAATCCTCAAACCTGAAAAAGAGAGTGCCATAGAATCTGAAGGTCCTCTGAATTGTAACATGTTTATTTAAAACTAAAGGCCACATACTGTTCTCCCATGATAACAGTTTCATTGCTAAGTTGTTGTTGTTAGGTACTATAGAGATGATGGCATAGAGAGAAAGAACAGCTGAGGACTCTAGACTCATGGAAAGAGAAAGGCTGTGTGCTTGTAGCCAGGCTTGCAGAATGTGCGCTTGAGTTGTTTGAATGATTATACATTCCTGAGTTTGTTTATGTACATCCCCAAAAACCAAAAACAATAACAGAGGGAATAGAAGCAAATATTGTTGAATGGTGATGCATGGAGAGGATTGTAATCATTGCAATGATGTGAAATACGACAGGATGAGTGCAAAACTGATGCTCTCCCATATAATCAATCTATAACTCAATGTGCAATAAAAGCTTTTAAAAAAATTATAAGAAAAAACTCCCACAAAAACCTTATCATATACATAAACACAGTGGCTCTATAGGATAAACACTATTCTGCAAACCACAAAGTTAGCAGTTTGAACCCTCCAGCAGCTCCATGGGAAAAAGATGAGGTTTTCTGCTCAAAGATTTGTAGCCTTGGAAATTATATTCATGGTCCCTATGAGTTGAAACTGACTACACCACCTTTAACAACAACAGCAAAGGTTTTCAGGTGTATACATTGATATAGTGTACACAGAGTTATATGTATCTGTTGTTAGGGATTAAATGGTGTCCTCCCCCCAAATAAATATGGGACTCCTAACCGTGTTTTAAAATATGCGGAGATTTGGAACTAGAAAACCAAAAGGGAAGAACATGGTCAGCATTTCTCAAGCTGGGAGAACAGAAGAAAAAATTCAAGCCTTGATTTTTGTTATTGAAAGATTCTCTGGGCAAATTATTGAATGATGCAGAATGCATCAAGAGAAGATGGAAGGAATACACAGAATCATTGTATCAAAAGGAAATGGTTAATGTTCAGTCATTTCAAGTGATACCATATGAACAAGAGCCAATTATACACAGGGAG